ACACGGGGAAATCACGCTCGGCTGCCTTGCTCCAGCACAGCCCTTCCTGTGCTCACAGCTCTGCCAGGAGAGCTTCATCCCTCACAGCACAGCACCAGGATCCTCCCCAAGCTGTGCCACAAAATCCTGACCCTTCAAATGCACCCAAAAACCCCACTGGCATTAATGGATTTTTGTCCATCGAGCATCAGCTTAAACCACGTTTGGATGGATCTGACATTAAAGCAACCACAGCATTTAACAGCTCCCACAAGAAATTATAAATGCAGTTCAATTAATTGCTCACTGGACACATCAGAGCGGACTGACACCAAAATAAAAAAATAAAGGTTGCACCACTACATCCATCTCTGCTGGCTGCTCGGGGCAAGATGCTTCAGCAGAAAGTGACAGGACTCAAGAGGCCACCACCATCCCAGCAAACCATCACTGCAGGAGCGTGCCTCAGTTCCTCCCCCATCACCTCCACCACCAGTTCCCAGTGGTTTCATCATGGATCAACCACCCCCCAAATTCCTGTAGTGAGGGGAGAGGGGTTTGGGTTGTTTCAGGGGTTTTTAGATGAAACTGCAGCATACATAGAGCTGATAAACACCAGAAGAGCATTCTGTGCCAACACCCCAACACCCTTCAAATGCACCCAAAAACCCCACTGACATTAATGGATTTTTGTCCAACTTAAACCACATTCAGATGGATCTGACATTAAAGCAACCACAGCATTTAACAGCTCCCACAACAAATGATAAATGCAGTTCAATTAATCGCTCACTGGACACATCACAGTGGATTGACACCAAAATAAAAAAGAAGGTTGCACCACTACATCCATCTCTGCTGGCTGCTCGGGGCAAGATGCTTCAGCAGAAAGTGACAGGACTCAAGAGGCCACCACCATCCCAGCTCCTGGCCCACATTCCAGCAAACCATCCCTGCAGGAGCGTGCCTCAGTTCCTCCCCCATCACCAGTTCCCAGTGGTTTCATCATGGATCAATCACCTCCCAAATTCCTGTAGTGAGAGGAGAGGGGTTTTTAGATGAAACTGCAACATACACAGCACTGATAAACACCAGAAGAGCATTTCGTGCCAACATCCTAAATACAAAGTGCTTTTCAAGTATTTCTGGGGGTTTTATGACTATTATGATCACTTAAAATACGCCTCTAGCCCCCAGAGGATGTGCACATTTGCCTTCAAAGAACCAATCTGGCCGTTGCAGGGATTTTATTAAACCTCTTGTATGGATGTTGTACTTCCCCTAAGGCTATGCAACCAAGTATTTTAAATTTCTTAAACCAGACCTCTTAAATACAACTCACAGGCTGCTCCTCCCCTCACAAATGAGTCTCTGGGAGTTTGGCAGATTCCCCAAAAGTCTGCTAACTCCCCAAACCAAGCTATTTTTCCTTTTACTCAACATTTCCTACAAATGACACAGCACTTTGCTGCTGTGTCTGCTAACAGCAGAGCTTGTACCACCTCAGCCAAGAGATCAGGCCCTTCACACTCACGAGCTCCGTGCTTTATTCTGTGCTCTACTTCTAAGTTTCTTTTTTTTCTCCCTTCTGGAAAAGAAAACACGCTGATTACACAGCCTTCCAAAAAGGCAAACAGCTGTTGCAGATCCCCGAACAAAGCAGCCTGTTAAAATTAAAGTTCTGGGTATTTTCCCATGGCAAGGAGGAGGCAGAGGAAGGGAAGAGCTGCAGCTTTGCTGGTTGAAAAGGTTTCTCCTTGCTTGGCTGCTCTGTAGAGTTTAAAGTGCAAAGCCAGTTGGTACAAACTCGGTGTCCCAGTGTTCCCTCGCTGCTGACAGGCTGTTAGCAGCCAGGATATACCCTGCAAGAGGTCAAAGGTGTGGAAAAACAAACACGAGCAGCAATTTGGGGAGATGAAGAGGAGAGAACGATCTGTCACGGCATTTTTTGTGCCGCGGAAAACCAGCCAGCTTCCTGCCCTCTCACTCGGTCACTTCTGGCAAGTTATGTCCTCTGAGAGGGGAGGGGAAAAAAAGGCCACTTACTTGAAATAACTGGCTTCTATTCTAAATAACTAGCTTCTTGAACAAGGAGGCTGATAAAGATGCTAATGCCCAATTCCTCTCACTCATAACTCTGAAGAAAATGGCTGAATGGTTGGACGTGTCCCTCCATGGATTTCAGCTCCTCAAATCAGCCCACAAAGTCCTGTTTCACTTTTAAAAACATTGTAGAGGCAAAACAAGCCCAGCCCTCCAACAGCAACTCAAAACTCTTACAGCTCTGAAAAAGCAATTTTATTTAACAATATGCATCCTTAACTGGGGAGATGGAAGGGTGTGTGTTTAAGGGAAGATCCTGCAGATTTAATAGTATTTGTCCACACAAGGCAATTAAGTTTACTTTCACACTTTGTAAGCCATTCATAGAATCCCAGAATGGTTTGGGTTGGAAGAGACTTTTAAGCCCATCCAGTTCCACCCCTGCCATGGCAGGGACACCTTCACTGTCCCAGGCTGCTCCAAACTCCATCCAGCCTGGCCTTGGGCACTGCCAGGGATCCAGGGGCAGCCACAGCTGCTCTGGGCACCCTGTGCCAGGGCCTGCCCACCCTGCCAGGGAACAATTCCTAATTCCCAGTATCCCATCCAGCCCTGCCCTCTGGCACTGGGAACCCATTCCCTGTGTCCTGTCCCAAGTCCCTCTCCAGCTCTCTTATATCCATTCAGAATTCAGCCAGAATCTTCTGTGTGGCAGCACAACAGCTTCCACCACCACAGACCCTCAAGTACCTACATGACCCTCATCATAATTCAGTTCCCACAGATTTTCTGCTGCTGTTGATCCTACCAATCTCCAGCCACCTCTGCCAGAGCAGGAGAACAAATCCAGCACCACCTAACTACAAAAAAAAGAAAAAACCTCAGGGGCTAAATAGAATCATCTTGGTTGGAAAACCCCTCTAAAATCATCAAGCCAAACCATTCTCCCAGGAATTCCAAGGCCAACACTAACCAACATCCCCAAGTGCCACAACCACCTGCCTCTTGAACACTTCTTGGTGGTTTGACAAAATCAAAGGTTGGGTGCCATCACCTCAAGAGGCACTGAGATTCAGTATGAACTGGGGGGAGGAAACCAACCCTTTAGTGCAGATTTTGTTATTTCCAGGTCCTCACCACCACCATGAGTTATCTTGCCCACCGGGCTCTTAGGGCTGACACAGAGCTCCCAACTCCTCCCAGAGCCAAGTACATTTCAGGAAAAGATTAGCAAGGATCTTTTCCGGTAACCACAGAAAGGTTTGGGTTGGAAGGGACCCTAAAATTCTCATTCCAGCCTCCAGCCTTGGGCAGGGATACCTTCCACTATCCTGGGCTGCTCCAAACCCCACCTGAGCGATCACAACCTGCAGCCACGAGTTGACTTGAACATTGTAAATAATATTAGGAGTATTGACCACAGATGATCAATATGAAACAACCCCCCCCCAGAGGAGTTGGGCATTACACCCCACACCAGACTGCAGGGCTGCATTTACACAAGGAGTGATTAAAATTCCAGCCGGAAAACGTTTATTCCAAGGCTTTTCCTACACATTCCAGTGGGTATGGCAGAGGCTGGAACCTGTGGCGCTTCCCGGAGTTCTGGGAGCTCCATTTGCACTTCAGGAGCGCCGAGGGGCAGCGACACCGACAAGGAAAGTGACACGTGTGGGGCTTTGCATTCCCTAAGGAAATTAACACCGAGGGATGCCTGGATGTTCACCACACACCCCGGGGATTTCACAGCCACCCCTGTCCCTCCCTGCTCGCTTTTTGGGGTGTTTTATTCGTTTTGGGGGCTGGAGGGGAAGCATTTCACGCGCCACCGCCGTTCCTCCCCTGCCATCCCTTCAGAACGGCCTTAAAAGGACAAAATATCTGTGGCGGTGGGAATGGGGGGCGGGAACAGGAATGTGGGAATGGGAGCGGGAATGGGAAGCGGCGTGGCGGCAGGAGGAGCACACCCGGCCCAGCCCGGCCCGGCGGGGTCCCGCCATGGCGGCCGCCCTGAGGGCGGGCAGTTGCCTGGAGACGGCGGGGCCCGCCATGGCGGCGGGAAAGGGCTGAGGCTGCGCGGGGAGCGGGGCCAGCCCCGCCACGGCCCCTCAGGGGACACTCCGGCAAGGTCCTCGTCCCCCGTGTCCCGCCATGCCTCCCCGGGAACCATCCCCGTGTGCCCGGGCGCCGTCCGCTCCGTCCCCGCATCCCGGAGCCCACACGGCGCACACGCTCCCCACTACCGGGATGGCTCCGGGGATCCGCCAGCGCTCCCGGTTATCATCCCGAGGAATTCCTCACACGAGGAAGGTGCCGGCCGCGGAGGAGAGGCAGGTTTGCCCATCGACGGGGAGGTTGCTCCCCGGCCCCGCGTGCATCCGCTCATCACCTCTTCCCTCCTCCTTTTTTATCCCTTGAGGAACGCTGAACTAAAGGCACGGTCAGGAGAAGGCACGAGCGAGGGAGAGCTCCGTTCCCCCATTAAGGCGCTCTAATTTCCCTAATCTGCCGCAGGTGTGAAACCGGGGCAGCGCATCCCCCGGCGCGCCGGCACCTGAGGATCCTCGCAACTTTCCCTGCCCCCCGCACGCCCTCCGGGGCACCAGGACACTGCAACAAGCTCCTGCTTCTGCCGAACCCCCCTCCCCAAAACACCAGCAGCCCGCCGGGCTCCAAGTTTCCCAGCTGGGAATGTCTCCCTGCGAGGTCCCGCGGCGAGCCCCGCGTTCCTCCCGCTCCCTCCATGCCCTGGACACGATCCCGTCCCCCGGAGGGATGTGGCGGTCGGGACGGGCTGGCCGGGACCCCGGCGCTCACTCCTGCCACTCTTCCCCCCCAGCGCTCACAACTTTCCCACCCCGCGGGGCCACCCGAGGAGGCTGCGGGATGCGGGAATGCCGCGCTCCGCTCCCTGCCCGGGGATGGAGCGGGATGAGGGGGAGAGGGGACGCTGAGCGGCGGGGTGACCCCCTGCTTACTGCGGGCTCTTGGGGTAGAAGGGGAGGGTGACGTGGCTGAGATCCTGGATGTCGAAAGCCGTGGGCTCGGCCGAGATCGCCTGGCGCTTGGTCCGCTGCTCGCCCTGCAAGGTGCCGGCGCTTTGCTGCTGCGCCTGCTGCGTGGCGGGCCGGATCACCGAGCGGTACTTGTCCAGCTCGTTCTGCAGCTTCTGGATCAGTTCGTCCTTCTGGTCCAACTCCAGCTCCAGCTCGTCGATGAGCGCATCCCGCTGCCGCAGCTCCTCGATCTTCTCCTGCAGCGCGTACTGTAAATCCCGCAAAGTGCCCATGGTCCTGCCGCCGCGCTCTCCCCTCGCCGCTCCGGGCAACTTTCCCCCTCCGGGGCCGCCTCCCCTCGCTCGGGCCACCCCGGCCCCCCTGGGCTCGGCCCGGCCCCGCGGGGCCGCCGCAGCCGGACCCCCGGCACGGCGCTCCGGAGCCGGGGTGTTGTCAGGGGCGATGTGGATCCGCCTGCGTCAGGCCGGGCTGCCGAGGGAGCCGAGACACACACACAGACAGACACACACACACACACACCCGCGGCGGCGAGCGGCGAGGGAGGGGAGGCGGGAGGGAGGCAGGGGCGGCGGGGAGGATGCACATGCTCGCCCCGCTCCCTCCCGCCGGCCCCGCCGCGCCCCGCGCCGCCCACGCCCCGCGGGCTGCGAGCACGGAGGGATGGATGGAAGGGAGGGATGGAAGGAGGGAGGGGACCGGCCGGGAGCAGCGAGTGGTGCCTGCCCTGCGGGCCTTGTGCTGCGCTCCGAGCCGCGCACACCTCCCGTGCTGCTCCCCTCCCTCTGCTCCGGTTCTCCTTAAAGAACTTATTCCCCCCTTTACTTTGCTTTTAAAGAGCCGGGTTGTGTTGTTTTCGCACAAGCCAGCGTCTGGCATGGCTCCTCCTCAAGCCTCAGCAAGCTCCGGGCTCCAAAAACCCAGATTTTCACGGGAATATCGGTCAAGTCTGTCTGCGCTGGAAAAGCCTGGAGGAGGCAGGGCATCTGGCTTTCAGAGCACTGAGAAAAAAAAAAACCCTTAACTTAAAATCTGGGAGATTTTCTGCCTGGCCCAAATAACCATGTGAAAGCCCAAGTTTCTGCCTTACCAAACTGATCAGATTCCCCAGAGTGCAGGACAGCCCGCGGGGCTGCAGCACAGAAATAACAAAATCAAACAAATGAGCCACAGTGGCCAAGCAATTCTGGGTTCTTCCATTTGCCACGTGCTGAAGGGCCAGCGATGCTCACCCTGAGAGCACGGCTCCCGCCTTGGCTCTCTGGGGAACAAACAGGGGGTCTGAGCTGTTTTGGGGGTTCCTGATCAAACCATCCAGCCTGGAGGAGCCAGTGATGAAAACCCCAGAGTGTAAGAACCCCACCAAAGCTTGTGCAGCGCTGGAGCACTGGCACAGATTCATGCTCACAGGTTTCCAGCAGCTGTTTCTGTTCCTTCAGCAGCTGTTTCTGTTCCCTCTTGAGGAGTTGGACTTGAGGAGGAAGAGGAGGATGCAGCCCTGAGTGTATTTTTTGTGTTTCTGTCTGACCTCCCATGCCAGGCATGAGCTGGGAGTGCCAGACATCAGCCCCTACTTATGGGGCTCAGCTCCTTTGGTCTTGCCCTTTTTCCCCTCACCCTGTTACACACTGGCTCCAGCTTTCAACCTGCAGCTGGTCTTTATTTTATAAAGTTATAAAAGAGAACAGATGAGGAATTAGAACTGCTCACAGCTCCACACTGTTGCTGGAAAGGGCCTGGCCTCTGCTCACAGACATGAGGCTTTGCAGGGGTTTTGTGCATTTGATCCTGCGTTTTTTGAGATGCACATGGAAAAGGGGGAAAAATTTGGGTTATGCAAAACTCTTCAGTTTTCAGTCCCCTTGATACATTTGTGCCAGGCACAAAGCAAAGTCCCCCAGTTGTTTCCACAGGTTTAAGTCCAGACAGCATTTTTTACTGTCTATTCCTCCTATTTCCATCTCACATAACTCACTGGGAACAAAAGTAGCAGATATCTGCTGAACATTTCCATTTTAAAGACAACAGGCATTAAACAGATGCATTCCTGCTGCCTACAAACTGGGAATCAGTGATAAATAAAATATTTTAACAGCGTTCAGCCAACAGGCTGTAAGTTTTATTGCTTTTCTCCCTGCAGAAGTGAAATCTGCAGGAGGGAGAGGTGATACAGTTACCTGAAGCCCACCAGGCTTCAAAAGAATCACAGCCCTGGGGAAAACTGCTGCATAATTTCTCAGTGACAAGCAGTAAAATAATATGTGAGAGGGGCACAGCCCAGGACTGAGACAACAGTGCCCCAGAACAGAAAGGATCCACAGAAAACCATGAGAAATTATGGCACATAAAGCTGTCAAGGAATTTAGCTGAGTGTACCTAAAATATATATTTATCTCCAGCTAGGAAGCAGATTTTCATTAGACCCTTGGGAGTCTCAATAGAGATTTTTATGGCCCAGGTTTAGATTTGGGACCATAACCAGCAGCTGCCAAGCCCCAAGGCCAGTGTTTAAAGATGAGGCCAAAGCAGCCCAAAGGGCTTCACAAGCCAACAGCAGAGCTCTGCCATGGGGAGACAGCCTGCAATTGCCTTTTCCTGGCTATTCCCTGCTCTCCCAAAGAAACCAGAGCACAGAAACCACAGGGCCAGCACAGATCCTGCTGTGTGATCGCAGGGTACCACCCCACCCCAATAAAAATAAATCCTATGGTCCCATTCCTTTTGATTTAAAGCTCCCAATAAAACAAATAAATGAATAAATAGATCTCAGGCTCAACAGAGCAGCTGCTTTGTCTGCTTGATCCAGGGAATGGAAAGGAACAGCTTTAGGGAGAAGAATGGCAGGAATGCACCAACTGACTTGGTGTTGGGTGAAGCTGCTCACAGCTAAAGGAAACCACCAGCTATGAACTTCCCAGAGCCTTTCCCTGCTCCCTCCACTGCCAGAGTGTGCCTGGATGTCGATGCTTTTTTGGGGAAGCCAAAAAAAGAGCGTCTGCAGAGATCTGCCCCCCCCAGAGCACAGCACACCAGGGCTGGCTGGTGGGCATCACACAGAGCAGGGATGGTTCTCCTCTCTGCTGCACTCACAATATTTCCTCTCTGCACAGCTCCAGGGTTCTGATACCTTCTGCTCCTGAACCTTTTCAGGGATCATCTGTCACCAAATGCACCCACTCAGCTGCCATTTTTCAAGCTGAGACTGGATTTGAGCACTGCCTATCCTGCAAACACCTCCCTGGATTCCTGAGGCAAGGCTCAGGGAGCCGGCACGGTCCCTGACAGGAAAATGTCACCTTGCTCCAGCCAGCCAGGACAGAGAGGCTGGACATGCACCACTGACCACATACATAAACATCTTCCTCCTCCTGGATGTGGTGTTTGTTCCCTGCCTAATCCACTGCACTCTTTACCCAAAGGATCTGCAGGAGCACCAAGTTGAACCAGCTGGATTTTGTGCTAGATTATCCTGCTGGTGCAGCTTTGGGAAGGTCTGTGACCTGCAGGGCTCCACACAACCAAATTCCTGCCCTTCCTGCACAGCCACAGCAACACCTTTACGATGAGAAGGAGCTACAAAAATGCAGGAAAATTTCGAGGGAGGCAGCACAGCAGCTGAACCCTTGCAAAAAAGCACCTGGAGGTGTGGTCACACCTGAGACTCCCCATATTTCATCCATGGGATGCCTCCTGCAATTCCAGCACGTCCCCAAGACAGAGCAAGGAGTGCCACCTACTGAAACACGGGCACACCCAAGTCCTCCCTAAGGCACATCTGGCCATTCCTATTGCACCAAAACGCCTCTGGTAGCTCCTCCTGGGGCCACAGGGCCCTACAGATTTATAGAGGGCACCCGGGAATTAATTCAGCCCCCAGGGATGGGGATGGAGCTGAAGTTACTGTGGCAAAGCAGCCTTGCCAAGACCACTGCAGGAACTGAACATCTGGGGAGTGCTTCACCCTCTTTTCTCTAGGAAAACAAAACCTATTTTCTCATGACACTGGATGTTCCTCCACCCTATTTTGGTCCTTTCCAGAGCCTGTAAAACAAAACTGAAAGCCATTTGTTCCTCCCCACAAAAGGATGGAGATGTCCAGCTTTGAGCACTGCCATTCAAACCCCACTGATTCCTGCATGCTGGAAGTCAAATCAACACCTGAACTGGATTATCCTGGTGACTTTCCTTTAGGGCATCAGTTCTTTCCATGCTCAGTAAGAAACATGGAGAAGTGTGAAGAGCATGCAGCCATTCCAAGAAATCCTCTCAGGATCAATCTGGGGTAGAGTGCATGAAAAGGAAAAGAAAAACACCACAAGGCTTATTAATGGAACAAAAAATTGCTCGCTGCAGAAGAAGCCGAAGGAAAAAATAACAATGTGCTGTTCTGCAGTTGTAATGCATTTAGCTTTTTATATCACATTAGGGACACACAGAACACCAAAATGAATGTTTGTGCCATGCAAAACCCAAGGAGGAGAAATTGGGAGCATGGAATAGCAGAGGATTCTCCAGGAACACAGTGGTTTCAAGCACGTCTCACCACATTGAAGATTTAAATTCTCCTTTGTGGGCTCTTTGCCTGGAAGGAGGAGATGGATGGCACAAAGCACCTCCTGTCAGTACAAGGTGAGAGATCTCCCTCCCCTCGTTGTTTTGGCAGGCTGGAGCAAAGCCAGGGCTGTGCTTCCTGCTGGGTGGGCTGCAGAGCTGAAACAACACCAGTATCACTCATCTCATTACAGCTCTACAGGAAAATGGCAGCAGAAAATCATCCTCTGTAGCCACGAGTTCAACAAGCCCTTCAAAGCTTGTTCCTTCCATCAGAGCAACCAAAACCATCCCTCTGTCTTCTTCTCCCCACCATCTCTGGCCACACATCTACAGAAACCTCTGCCCTCCAAAAGCAGGAAGGTTTTCTCCCATGACCACACAGAAAATTGGATTTTCAGCAGCTCAGCCCTCCAGCTGGGTGCACATGGTGGCTGCAGGGTTAAGGGAATGCTGTGGGATTCCAGGGAGCATTTCTCACATCCTCAGGGCCAGGCTTTCTCCAGGAAGGACCACACACATGATCCCAAGCCCCCTGAAGGAACCAGTGCCACAATCCTGATCCCTCCTCTCCAGACACACCTCAAGTGATTTGTTCATTTTTTCCACTGCCCAGCAAGATCACACATAGGCAGAGCTTAAACACTTCTTCCTCTGGGCTGAATTAAACAAAAACCAGTTCTAAATGATTCAGCTGCCTTAAGGAGTCTCCTTAGGCTCAGCTTAAGCAGAAATTTCTT